AAGAATCAATGTTGGCCCAGATGTCTTGAGAACACTTTCTACATGGTTACAAATACCATATAGTATATCAGAAGGTACAGTAGAACAAGGATGGAATAAATCTACCACCTTTGCAATTCTTGGGCCCTCAAGGGAGATTGAGACCCTAAGAAACCAGATAAATTGAGGGGTGACCTTGTTTCTCTTCCTAAAAGGACTAGATTAATACTAAATTAGAGTGAAAGCCTGTGTTGTGAGCTAAGTAATTTAACATTAATTAATTGTGAGGCTGGGGTCCTATCCCAGTGTTAGAGCATGTATTTAGCAAGGCCCTGTATTCAATCCCTAGCATCCCACATATACACAGATTTCTTTATATTCAGCAGATAGCTTTGGAGTGCCTTTTATATGCCAAGCACTCTTCTAGATTCTGAATCATTTTCACTTCCACCACCTCCTATCATTGTGTTTAGAAGAACTAGCTGATTGCATTCTCTGAGGAAAATTCCTTTTCCTAAGAAAATAGATTGCAGGGAATATAAGTCTAGAGTTGGAATTCCATTGAAATTCTTCAACAGAGGAATAAACGGGGATAAAGACAGCTGAACTGCAGAGAATTAAAGCTTTGAGGTTACTTTGCATTTCTGTTTGTGAGGGATAACAATCATGGACAAGAAGTATAAATAAGTGTCTTGGCATTACTGAAACCAGCTGCCGGATATCAAGACCCTGGTATTTTGACCTTTTTAAAATTAAAAAAAAAAAAAAATGGAGAACCAAAACTGCCAGAGAAATTGTGTAATGACATCTGTCTCTGTCACAGCAGTATTTCTGTCTTTTTTCAGTCTGTAGCCTTGTCCAACAGCTTTTTCTCCGCCCAGGGCTAGTGATTGAACCCAGAGCCTTGTGCATGCCAGGCAAGAGCTCTACCACTGAAAACTCCTAGCCCCCAAGTACATTTAAGTCATCATTTTGGGGTTTTGGGTTTTTGTTTTGTTTTGTTTTGTTTTGTTTTGCCTTCCTGGGGACTAAACCCAGGGGCTTGAGCTACATCCCCAGACCTTTTTAAATTTTATTTCTTAATTTGGGACTGGGTACTCCTAAATTGCTGAGGGTGGGCCTTGAACACAATTGTGATCCTTCTGCCTTAGCTTCCTGAGAAGTTGGGATTACAGGCATGCACTACCATGCCCAGCTAAGTCATAGTTTTTATTTTTATTTTTTTATTTTTTTTATTATTTTTTTAAGAGAGAGAGAATTTTTTTAATTTTTTTTAGTTTTCGGTAGACACAACATCTTTGTTTATATGTGGTGCTGAGGATTGAACCCGGGCTGCTCGCATGCCAGGCGAGCTCGCTACCGCTTGAGCCACATCCCCAGCCCCAAGTCATAGTTTTTATAAAAAGAAAGATATATGTCTGAATCCCAACAAATTTGAAATAATTGAGTGTTTTTTCCTCTGAAACTACACTATGTAAAAATTATATTGAATACCTTTTATTTAAAAAAAAAAAACACTTTGTTAAAGTTAACCTATATCTCAGTCTTTTTCTATAAATGCATTGAGAGAGGCTTTGAATGATGTTCACTAAATGTTAATAGTAGTTGTTTCTATGTATCGGGGATTTGGGGTGATAATTAAAAATATATTTTTGTATTAATTGAATTATTTTTTAAATACTTGTTTAATTGTAATTGGACATCATTATTTATATGTGGTACTGAGGATTGAACCCAGGGCCCCACATTTGTTAGGCAAGTGGTCTACCGCTGAGTTACAGTCCCAGCCCCTTAATTGAATTCTTTTTCTAATGAGTGTACATAAGTTTTACAAAAATGACCCCCAAAAAAGTTTTGTACTTGTTTTTCTAGAACAAGTTTTTTAAGACAATTTCAGTAACCTCATTTTATTTTGTTCAACTTCAGGACACTTGGGACTTAAGTGTGGTGAGGGTTTCTTTATAGCTTTTTATAGGTGTTATGGTTTGCACTTGGCTGCTGATATTCTCTACCTTCCTCCCTTCCTGATTAGCAAAAGATACAGATATTGTGGATGAAGCCATCTATTACTTCAAGGCCAATGTCTTCTTCAAGAACTATGAAATTAAGGTAAATTACAGTGCTTGTAGTTTAACTCACTTTTTTGATGTGGATAATATCTACCTTGCAGTTAGGGTTGCTGTGAGGACTAAATAAAATAAAATGAGATTGTGATTTAAAAATTACAGAATAGTACCTAATGGTAGACTCTGTATAAATATTAGTTTCCTTTTTTTTCCCCAAAGTGTGTATCAGGTGTTGGCAAACCATAACCTTAGGACCAAATGTGACACACAACTTCTTTTGGTAAATAAAATTTAATTGGACACAGCAGCGTACATTTGTATGCATACAGTCTGTGGTTATTTTCCTACCACAATAGCAGTTGAGTAGTTATGACAAAATCTGCATAGGCCAAAATGCAAAAAATGTTTACTATCAGACCTTTTCAGAAAAGACTTCCCAACCCCTGGTCTGGACTTATCTTTTTTATTCATCATTAATTAAGAATCTGTTATGTGCCAGCCCTATATTTGTGTAGGACCCATCCACAATCTAAAGGCCTTAAATGCTTTTTTTTTTGGTACTGGGGATTGAACACAGGGATGCTTTGCCATTGAGCTACATCCCCAGCTCCATTTTTAAATTTTTTTTTTTGAGACAGGGTCTTATTAAGTTGCTTAGGGCCTCACTAAGTTTCTGGCCTCCCTAGTCACTTGAGATTACAAGCGTGTGCCACTAGACACAGCCTATTATTTTTTTATATACAGGTTGAGCATTTCAGATTTGGGGTTTTTAGATTAGGAATGCTCAACTGGTAAAGTCTGCAAATACTACAAAATTCCAAACACTCCAGAATATGAAACGTTTTTCTGGGCCCAAACATTTTTGATAAAGGACGCTTAACTTGGGTTTTTGTGTCATAGACTTGATATTGAGAAGTAAAGAAACTTGAATAACCCTCGCCTGCTTTCCTGACCCCTCTTCTCTCCTTTTCTGCTCTCAGTTCCCATGAAGAGGATGGTCAAGGAAAAAGTAGAGAGGAGTAGAAGAAAAGGAGAGGGGAAATTTTAAAAAATTATATAGCTGGGCTTGATGGTACATGGTAATCCCAGACACTCAGGTGACTGAGGCAGGAGGATTACAGATTTGAGGCCAGCCTGGGGAAGTTAGAGAGACCCTGTCTCAAAAATGAAATAGAAAAGGCTAGGATGTAGCTCAGTGGTAGGGGGCCCTGGGTTTAATCCCCAATTAACGAGAGTCGGAGGCAGGGACAGTTCTTGAGCAAGTTACAAAAAATGGTGAGGAATTTTCCTGGTAGTGTCCTAAAATATGTAACTTTAACCTCTTGCCAAACTTTTACTTTTGGAATCAAACAGGATATGGAATCTTTTATGGGGTCTTGATCTACATACAAATTGTCTGAACATCCTGTGATATTGACAATGTATTTTCAATATCTAATGCACGTCTAAGTATTGTATTTTTACGAGGTGTGAATAAATATTGTAATTCTGCCACATTTCGCATATTTCATCATCAAATATATGGTCTTAAAAAAAAGGGAAATATATAGCTTTAGTTTTGTTGTTGTTTTAATAAATCTTTGTGAAGTTTGGCCTACGGTACATGCCACATTTGATCAATAGCTGTTGTCTTCACATTTTCTTCTCATTTAGGACAAGATGTTAGGCTTCTGGAGTTCTTCAAGAACATGTCAGATGTGAAATAATTGCTTCCTTCTTCTGAGTAATGAGTGTTTCTGTCCTCAGCAGAAATCCTCAAGTGAAAGGCTTTTAAACAATTAGCCAGCCATATGGTGTGCCTCAGGTTTTCCAGGCAGCTTTGTTAATCCTCCTTCCTACGCAGAGTGAGGGGCTGTTGGCACAGCTCCTCAGGAACCTAGGCCGTCAGCTGTAGCAGCTGAGAAAAACAAGGGTAGCCCCACAGCTCAGGATGGAAGCCAGTGGCTCCTGCCCAAGGGAGCTTGAAAGACCATGCATGTATTTGGAAAATGACACTTTTTGATGCTATGGTAACTATATTGTCAGGATTTTCAGTAGGTAATCAAAAGGCAAAGGCTGTATATACATGGTTGTTATGGTTTTTTTGTTGTTTTAATGAAGATTTTGTTTTCCCCCCATAGAATGAAGCTGATAGGACCTTGATATATATCACCCTCTACATTTCTGAGTGTCTAAAGAAACTCCAAAAGGTAATTAAACTTGGATAATCATATTTCCTCTGACTTAGAGCATTTATTTAAGAGGAAAATCTGAATGTAGTTCTTCGAATTCATAATGTGGTTGACTATCATACCCCCCCCAAAAAAAAAGATAGTGGTGATTTCAAAAGGCTTTGCATGTGAAAGACAAAAATCTTGACAAAGAATTTCGCTTGGCTCAGGAGTTCTTGACCCTGGAGTCCAAGGATAGAATCCAAAGGTCTGAGGGGTTAAGTGGCAAAATTTTAATTTTTCTTTCCTATAACTAAAATTTAGCATTTATTTTAGTTATTAACATAGGCTGTCTACAGTAGTATTAGCAATGCCTATGACTTTTTCTTCTATAGAATTCATATTTTCATATTATATTGGTATTGATATTTCAAAGTTTATCTCACTCATCTTAGCTATTAGTTCTTACTGTTTTGTGCACTTTTTAAAAATGTGTGATTTTAGCCAGGCACAGTGGTGCACATTTATAATCCCAGCGTCTGGAGAGGCTAAGACGGGAGAATTTCGAGTTCAAAGCCAGCCTCAGCAATGGCAAGGCGCTAAGCAACCCAGTAAGAACCTGTCTCTAAATGAAACACTAAATAGGGATGGGGATGTGGCTCAGTGGTTGAGTACCCCTGAGTTCAGTCTCTGGTACCAAAAATTAAAAAAAAAAAAAAAAGTGATTTTTAGGTATTTTATTGTGTTTCATTATAATTGTTTTCTCTTGAAGCTGGGCATAGTGGCACAAGCCTTTAATTCTAGCAGCTGAAGAGGCTGAGGCAGGAGGATCACAAGTTCAAGGCCAGCCTCAGCAGTTTAGTGAGGCACTAAGCAACTTAGACTCTGTCTCAAAATAAAAAATAAAAAGGGCTGGAGATGTGATTCAGTGGTTAAATGCCTCTGGGTTCCATCTTTGGTACCAAATTAATAATAATAATAATAATAATAATAATAATTGGTTTCTCTTATGTTAATTATGTTACTTTGTTTTGTTCATTTGAAACATTTCTCTGAGAAGGGGCCCACAGGATTTACCAGACTACAAAAGACACAAAAAACATTATGCCCCTCCCTTAGCTGCTTAAACTAAAAAAATTATAGTTTGGACATTATTATCCTATTCCTTCTTAAATGTGTGTGTGATTTTGTTATTGTTTTTAGTGCAATTCCAAAAGCCAAGGTGAGAAAGAAATGTATACCCTGGGAATCACTAATTTTCCCATTCCTGGAGAGCCTGGTTTTCCACTTAATGCAATTTATGCCAAACCTGC